AAGTATATATCTATGAGTATATGTACAATATAAAGAAGATCAATAAAACAAATACTCAGTTTAAGAAATAGAGCATTGTCCGTAAGTTCCTTCTTGATCACACACCTCTTTGTCCCGCTCACCAAGGTATAATCTTTATCCTGTCTTTTGTGACAATTATTCCCTCGCTTTTCTTTATAGTTTTACTTCTCACGTCTGTTGCTCTAAATAATATTTATTTTTAGTTTTTTCCATTTATTAACCTTGATAAAAATGGAATCCGACTCTGCATTCTTCTCGGAACTACTCCTTTTAGTCGACTTAATGTACGTGAGATTTATCCATGTTGATGCGGGTAATTGTATTTTGTCATTTTTACTACTGGGTCCATCGTATGGGTAACCTACAATTTATTTATCCAATCTGCCATGGATGGATATTTGGATTGTTTCTAGCTGTTTACTATTCTGCGCTTTCTCATAAAAATATCCTGATGCACTCATGTAAGAGTTTCTCTAGGGCAGTGGTCTTCAAATGTTTTTTGCTTGCATAGTCGCTAAAAGAATTTTTAAAATCTAGGTGCTCTCTTGAGAATTTCGGTTGCACTTCTATATTTTTTCATCATGAACGTTTGTAAAGAATGAAATTTCTAGCACATCGTAGATATTAACATTTTAAGTTAAACTGCTACTTCTTTTAAAAATATAAATAACAGAGAAATCAGATACCCACCATCGGCTATTTTAAAAATACACGAACGAGCTGTTTTCTAATAGTCAGAAATTTTACACTGTTTTTTTTCTCCCTGACTGTCCATTTACATCCCCCACAGAATTGCTTCTTATCGTAATGGATTTTTATGCTGGGAAATCTCGATCACCCTAATATACATTTCTGCCACAAAAATATATATGAAAATTGAAAAAAATTTTGTGACCATAGGCTTTAAGAGTGAAACATCTGGCTTCTATATTTAGTTATTATTAAAGTATTATTAGGACACAATGGATCAAAGCAATACAAATGTATCATGACATTTGTAAAATAATTATTTAACAGTGACTTTTTAATTTTGGAAATGCATCTTTCTGTGGGATGGATGAGACTTTTTCCCATTTATTTCATATGTGCATGCATGACTCTTATTCTTTGGTAGAATGAGACTATGTTCAGATCAATTTTATTCCATTTTTTTTTGTTTTAATCGATACAGGCACTGAAAACCTTGTTTACATAGATAAATAAATAGGAATAGAGACAGTTTTGTCATGACAATGCCACTCAGTTCTTTGAACTCCTTCCAAGGTAAATGCTAAAACCACACAGCAATCTATCGTTAATTTTTAATAATCTATTAATGGATATATCTGCCTTCTTTTTTGTTGAAAATAAAATAGCGTCAACTGCTTGACTTGCGAAAAGACTTATTAGCCAGTCGTTAGAGACATTAGATTTCATAATAGCTGGAAAATATACCAAAAAGTCTTTACCCAGATCTACCAAATGGCTACACCTTTTACTCTTTCGTGGAAAGGCCGGAAGTTATCTCATTTAACGCAACCTATCTAAAACTTTCAGAAAACATTGACGTCTTTTGAACTTTTATAAGCTTTCGTCAATATATTTTGAAAAGTTTTTAAGTAGAAAATTCCATATAAGGAAGTTAAAAAAGTGATGTACTGAACTTGACGTATCCATCACGAGGTGTCACCCGTTACCGTCGGTGGGCGATCTTGTTTCGTCTGAACCCCAATCCCTTCCTCTCCTGATTATTTGAAAGTCAGTCCCAGATATCCTGTCAGTTCATCTCATAACTCTTCAGCACATAGCTCTAAGCAATAGGACTTTCCCTTTTATTAATATCACATCTGAAAAAGAAACATTTAACATTAACTAGGCAGTGTTCACGGTTTCCCAACTGTAATTTTTTTCTTTTCCATTGTATTTGAATACGGATGCCCATGAGGTCCATACATCGCAACTAATAGACGGTGTGTACACCTGCTTCGGGAAGCGCCGTCTGGTAATCACTGATGACTGTTGCCTAGATCCATTTATTTATTGAGGGTTGCAAAGTGATGATACTCTTTCAGATTGCCTCTTGTGTCCTTCCGCTATGCCCCACCCCCCGTTTTCTCCACTTGCTTATTTTTTGACACTGTGTCACGCCCCAGGCTCACTTCGTATAGTTCCTCTCCCGGATCGTTCACTTCCTGCTTCCTTTTGATTTGAGAATGACATTTAGAAACTAAGACCTGTGTGCTGGGTGTCTTCGTTGCTCCTGCGGTGTCACTTACTGTCATCTCTCTCAGCTGACAGCCAGGCAATCCAGGTATGTATTACTGACCCCCCACCCCCACATGTATATATGTCTTTCTAGCTATTAAAAAAGAACGACCATGAATTCATATTGATAATTCTGACTCCAGACCAGCACAGGTTTTTAGAATCCTCTCTTTATTTATTATAATTTCTTTCTCTGACAGTGAGAAACTTGGCTCTCCTTAGCTACAATATATGTATCCATCACCTGCCGAAGGGGATCTTGGCTGCTTCCAAGTTTTGGCATTTATGAAAAAAGCTGCTATAAATATTTGTGTGCAGATTTTTGTGCGGACATAAGTAACATATTTTTAAATAAAAAGACGAGAAAGAAGGGCTTTCTAAGAATGACAGAAGTTGTAAAGAAAACATTTGTTAATATTTCCAGACTGAGCAAAAAAACCTCACCATAAGTAACTTAAAAGACAAACAGCAGGGGGCGCTAGTTGCAAGACATTTGACTACAGCTGACAGTTCTATTTCACGTGGCACACTGAATTTCAACAAGACAAGATTCTCAAATTCTGTGACTATTTTATTTTGTTTTATTTTATTTTATCACCTGCATTTCTGGGGCAGAAGTGGGAAATATTAGCAATCTCCTTTGTCTGGGGCAGAAGTGGGAAATACTTTAAACGAGACAAGATTCTCAAATTCTGTGACTATTTTATTTTGTTTTATTTTATTTTATTATTGGCATGCCTGGGGCAGAAGTGGGAAATATTAGCAATCTCCTTTTGTCCAAGAAATCTTATAAGTATTTAGACCTGTTAGAAATTACTAGAATTCAATTTCTACTTCGCTGATAGAGAAATGCATTATTAGAGAAGACATCCATAATTCCACAGAGTTTTAGAGGTGAAGGCTTATTTTCAGAAGACAGACTTCAGTTTTCAAGCACTGGGTGTCTCACAGGCTGCTTTGTAAGAATAATATTTGCTCTTTTTCTCTGTAACTGTAGGGGAAAGGGAACAATTTTCCTCTTATTCATTCCTGGCATTTCTTTCACCAGCAATTGGAGGCACCTATGGTTTGAAGAACCATAACTGAAATTCCTTGAGTTAACGCTGAAAGGGGGCGGGGGAGGGGCGGGGAGAACGAGGCCTGAATCGCCACAAAACCATGAATATGGAAAGAGACAGAAAAAAAAAATGTTAACAGATGTAATATAATGCTTTCCTTTCCGGAATCATCAATTAAAGGTCTTTCTTGAGTCAACATGAAAAAACCATATAACATAACAGAAAAAAAAAATCAACTAAGTATACGAACAGGCAGTTTAGAGGAAAAGACAGACGATTTCCCCAAATAGGCCACCCCATCTCACTCTACATGGTAGCTGACGAGATGCCTAGAGATGGACTCAAGATTCTTTATTCAATGAATACTTTGCATTTTCTTTATACACAAAAAGTAGGTGATTAAGATTCATATTCTCCTCTCTGTGGCGGGGACACACAAGTATTAGCCTGGGTAGATCAAGGCAGAAAAGATCAAGTTACTTCAACCACGGGTAGATTTGACACCTTTGAGCAAGTTCTCTTTCTTATGTATCAAATATTTATAAACTATACGCTGAGACAGCTGAATGCGTGGACTTCAGTCAAAAACATTCATGATAAAACTGTTTAGAACTGATCAATGTCTGCCAAAAGTAATTATTTTTGTTTTAAAGGAGTCGATCTTTAGCTTTTTCTTTTCTCTTGGCGAAAATGAGCCGACAGAGGCATTTCTAGCTACTGAAAGGAAAATAATGTCTTCTACACTTTAAATAAAAGTTTGTCTTTCCAGCCTCTGTAGAATCACTGCATGGATCCACCTCATTCAATCTAAGAGCAATTATTGGACAAGTCAAAATTACGGTATTAATAGGATCAATACTTTGTAAGTCAAGTGTAGCTTTCATTGCAAAATGTGAATTGCACATTATCTGCAATCGCGATTGCCTTCCTCTCCAAAAGAAGGGCCAGGAGTTAGCTGCATGTTGGCTGCCTTTTGAGAATTAAGCTGGAATCGAACCACGAGAGTACTGGATCAGACTCTGCCCCATTCACCCTAAGCATGTCTCCAGAGAGGGTCTTCGGCTCCCAAGACACAGGCGCTCCCAGCAGGAAGTGCCAGATGCAGAGGAGAAGAGTCAGGAGGGCCGTGTGGGGGGCCCAGGACACCCCATCCCCTAAGTGCTTGTCACTTTGCCTGAATCACGGTGTGGATGGGGCAATGTCTCCCTGGTTTCTGCGGAAGTGCAAGCCCACCGCTGTGAGGAAACCTAGGAAAGACCACGCCTGGGTGACCCCAGGGCCGGGGAGTCGACAGGAGGAAGAGGGGGGCCGGAGCCAGAGGGCGAATCGAATCGTACAGAAGAACCGAGCTTTGCGCTGTGCAGGAGAGCTGAGCGGTGGGCGGGGAGATGCTGGGCGGCCGGTCTGGGCCAGTGGCTGGCTTTGGGGTGCAGCCGGCCCGCACACTGTCTTACTGGCTCTCCAGTCTCCACACTAACCCTGGTAGAGACGTCGTCGTGGAGATGCGGTGAGGGGGGAGGAAGCGGAGCTGTTACTCAGAACGACACAAAACCGAACCCCTTCCTCTGCCTCGCGGCCACAGTCTGCAGGTGTCTTTTCCAGGAAACGACACATTGCTTGGTCCCCGTGCCCCGGAACCCAACCCGCCCCCCTCTCTCTCTCTGGCAGGTAGAATTCAGGGCCAGTGTTTCCATCTGTCGCTGGAGGACTTCTCCAGGACCAGCTGTAGGACTTGCGAGACATTCCGGGATCTACCAGGTAGCCGAGTCGGTCCCCTCTCTGCCCCCCTGCCCGCCCCTCTCTCTGTCTCTACTCCTCTCAACCCGGTTCTACCAGGAACTGTCTTGTCAATCCTTCTAAGCCTCGCTTTCTTTATTCCTAAACAAGCAGGGTCAGGAATTATATACCCCAAAGCCTCAAATATAAGTGCAAGCTGAAAATATTACTGATGCTGTAGTTTTCAGAATTTAAAATTTTGAACACAGTAGGCTCAGACAGCAGCCCTTCTGTGATACTAACGGGCTAATTTCTCATGTTTGTACACAAGCGTTTTCACATACGCACGCAGTGGCGGCTGCTCCCACATCTAGGGGCTCGTATGGGGTCCCCCCACGTCGCTAAGCAAAGGAGGATGGCCCGCACCTCCTTCCCCGCTGCCCGCAGAAGTCACAGGGCACCCCCTTTGAAGATCGGGCTGAAAACTCACTTTTCAATTTTAATCTTCGTTTCTGTCGCTTGCTTTTGTTGAATACACCAGTCGACCTGATGTAGACAGTTTCCGTTTAGAGAGAGGAGAGTAGGAATTTGCCTTTCTTTTTTTTCTCATAAAGAAATAGAATTTGAAAGAGAATAGTTTGGAAACTATTTAGACTCCCTCGTCACCCAGAATGGAGTTATAAACACCAGGGCTTTCTTCCTGGGAGGTCGCCCCACCTCCCACCCTGTGACAGCGACACAGGGTTCCCACACCTGCAGTCTTCCCTGTGGTCCCTCCATCGGGTGTCATCTTCCTCTAGCACACGCCAGTGGGGGAAGCGGGGAGGATGTTACTATGGTTACCTCGGGCAGCCGAGAGCAAGACAGTCTGCCCATGTGCCAGACCATCTCTCCCCGTTTCAGTCCGTTCCCCGATTTTCCCAACGTGCCTCTACCTCTCCCATGTCCACCCGCCTCTTCCAGTCCTGCTGGGGGGGTGGGGGGTGGGGAAGCTTCCCCCTCTGTGCAGGAGCCGTTTCCTCTCCCACTATCCTGTAAGTGGAGAGAGAGAGGAGCTGTCTGAGAATAGAGACGTTTAATAGCATCTTAAAATGAGTCGACGGGAGGATGCATGGCTACAAAATGAGGGTGTCGACTCGACGGCTGCCCTGAGTAGGCCGTTGAGCAGGGGGAAGCACGATGGTGGTGACATTTAGAGGGGACCGAGGGGACCGCAAAGGCACGGTGATCTGCAGGGGACGGAGCAGGGGAGGGAGTGGCCGGAGGCATGGCAGTCTGGATTAGGGAGGAAGGCAGTGGAAAAGGAAAACAATCCTTAAGTCAGACAGAGAAAAACAAACGCTATATGACTTCACTTATATGCAGAACCTAAGGAATCAAAAGAACAAACCAGTCAAAAACAGACTCACAAAGATGGTGGACCATTTGGTGACGGACAGAGGGGAGGGGGGTTTGGGGGGCTGAGAGAATGAGGTGAAGGGTTAAAGAAGTAGAAATTAGTAGCTGGTGGATGGTCACGGGGATGGGGAGCACGGCATAGGGAATGCAGTTAGCATCGATCCGATGGTTAGGTGGAGGGCCAGGGGAGGGCGGGAGCAACTGGGGGGATCGTTTTATGAATTAAATAGATGTCTAACCAATATACTGTACACTTGAAACTAATTAAATAGATGTCTAACCAATATACTGTACACTTGAAACTAATTTAAATAAATAAATTTAAAAAAGTTTTTTGAGAAAGATGAGAAAAACCTGGATGGTTTCTGAGAAGGAGCCCCCTTTTATCACCTCTGCATAGGCCGGATTCTGAGAGGACATCCATTTAAGCCTCTGATTCTCGAAAGAAATGGCCTGCTACCAGTTGCTTCGCAAAACACATCACGTGAGTAGCGCTGCTTGACCCGTTCCTAGGGATCTGAGGACCAGCGACACCCAGATTAGTGTTCGATTAAGTCACTGGAGACCATGGTCCCTCCGAGCCGACCCCTGAGACTAACTGCCACACTCGTGTGGAAGGGCTCGCCCCTGGATGGCGGCGTGACAGAAAATGCTCAGAGACCAGTTTGCGACCGGCAGGCCTCCCTCGCTCGGATGTAGTAAACACAGGACGCGAGCTGAACACTCAGTGCTGTGGTTCCTCGGCCTGAACAGCTCTTACTCTGGTTGTGCGTGTGCTGGGACAGACGCTGCGAAGCGGGCGAGGCTGGGGTCCGTGGCCGGGAATACAGCATCTGAGGGCCGGGGACTTGCTACCGTTTCTCACGTGGCTCTAAAATGCTCTTAGAAGGTCTACGGCCACGCCGCCCTGCGCAAGCCCCATCCCGTCTGATCGCGGAAGCTAAGCAGGGTCGGGCCTGGTTAGGACTTGGATGGGAGACCACCTAGGAAGCCCAGGTGCTGTAGACCTAAAAAATAAGGGATCGTAAGCTGACAAGGTCCTTGCAATCTGTGAGGTCAACCCAGGGTTGCCTCGCCTAAAAAAAAAAATAAATAAAAGAACATGGTCTTTAAGTAGTAAAGTTGACCTTTTTTTTTTTTTTTAAATACAATTAGTAGAAATTACAAAGCGATTACTGGGACCTGTCTGACAGAAGCAAGGTTCTGACTTTTTGTCCTTAAATGACAATGATTCCCAAGTAGTTTATATTTACTGAGTTATTTTCCCTGCCAGGAGGATCACAGTGGCCAGTCTTGCACATGGAGGGGCCAGACGCTACCCTCCCAGGGAGCACTGGGAAAATTCACTTGTTCGAAAAAGTACATGGTTTTTTGCAGCTCACCTGTCATGGACCCCCAAATTCCACAACCGAGAACTCATTCTTTAGAGTTACCTTATTTGAACCTGTGACGAGGAAAGACCCTGAAACCTGGCACACAGCGAGGCCTGGACGTAGCTTTTGAAAGGAAAGGTTTTTTCCGGGAGAGAAACGTGAGAAATGTTTCTGGGGGGGGGGGGGCTGAGTGGAACCCTTCCCTGAGCACAGGAGGAGGAGGCGGTAAGAAAGAGAAGGGTCAAGAGAAGGTGTACGGGGTCAGGGGGGAGAAGGGGAGTGGTCAGGAGAGAGATGCCGCTGAGGTGGTTCCTGGTCCAGGACCGTCTAAGCGAAGGGCGGACGTCCCGTGGGGAACCGCTGGTCTGAGCCTGACAGGTCGGGTCTTCCCTCCGCTTCCTGGGTGTGCATTCCACCCCGCCACCCACCTGGACTCATGACCATCTCCCACGCCTGGCGTGACCAGCTCGTCCTGGTTCGCTTGAGACCTCTTCAGTTTTAGCACTGAAGGTCCTTGGACCAGGGAGCCTCTCGGTGGTGGGCAAACCGGAATGACCGGTAGCCTTCTATGACACTATGGCCATGAAACTCAGGGAAAAATTTCTTTTCTGAATTAACTGAAAGAGGATACTTTGCTAGGTGAACTTGCGTTTGGGTGCCAGGACCGAGACCCTACAGGCGGACGAGGGTTCCAGAGAGCCAGGAGCTCAGTGGGACATGATCAACTTCCCTGTCTGGTCTTCTGGGCAGATGGCACATTTTCAACGCCACCTATGGGCTAACTACAGGTCACAGGAAATCACGTGTGCGTGTTCTCATGTGGAGCTGTCCCTATACTCTCAAGGGGGCCCTCAGTCAGTGCCAAGAATGGCTGAGCGTCAGCGGACCTGGGTTTTTTACCCTTGGCTCATCCGTTCAATTATGTGTGACTTTCAGTAGCTGTTTTCGCTCGCCCTCCGTTTTCTCGTTTATAAAATGCGGCGTTTTGCGTCGAATGTCACATCCAGCTCCAGTACGAATGAAGCCTGCCTGTTTTCCCTCTAGAACAAAATGGAAGGAGTTCCGAAGGGTGGAGAAGATGCTGTCAGCCCAGGTAAGGACCTAGTGGAACGACTCTTCATGATTACTTGAGGACCATGAACTCAGCACTGGGGGAGCAAACTGCATCTCGCAGTGAAACGTACAAGACTAACGTCACCCAAGACAAAGGAAATGCCATTTTCCCCAGGAAATATAGCACATTAGGCTATTTGCTATCATACTCTCAGGGATAAGCATTTCCAGATAAAGCCCTGTCATTCTGTAAGGCAGAGACCAGGCAGCACTGGGAGGAGCGGGAACTCCAAGACAAACACCTCGGCGGTTGCAGGAAGCTCTGAGCATCCAATAACCTTCAGGATAGGAACCAAATAGGGAGAAGTTTCTGGAAAGGGTGGCAAATTTCGGCGGTCCCAACAGCCCTTTAGGGGTGTGCTACCTAACTGGGGATGGATGCTGTTTCCGCGGAGTCTTTCCCTGCTAAAACAAAACACCACAGACTGGGCGGTAAACAACAAATATTTGTCTCCCGGTTCTGGAGGCTGAGAGGTCCAAGTTTAAGGTGCCGGCAGATTCCGGGTCTGGGGAGAGCCAGCTTCCTGGTGGCCGTGTCCTCACGTGTTGGAGAGAGTTCTCGGCTCTTCCTCACCTTATAAAGGCGCTCATCCCCATGGGGGCCCCCACCCTCATGCCCTGGTCAGACCCCAATGACCTCCCAAAGGCCCCAGTTCCAGACGCCATCACGCTGGGGACTAGGGTTTCAGCTTATGAATTTTTAGGGACGCCCACATCCCGGTCCACAGCAGTTACATGTGAACCTTTCATGCTCTGACAGGTGAAGGAGAATGGAGCTTAACTCCAGCGTCGCCCTCCCTGAGGATCATCCTGGTGGGCAGATCGGGCAGTGGGAAAAGTGCCACAGGCAACAGCATCCTCTGCCAGCCAGCCTTCCAGTCCAGGCTGGGGGCGCGGTCCGTGACCCAGACATGCCAGGCGGCCACCGGCACGTGGAACGGGAGGAGCGTCCTGGTGGTCGACACCGCCCCCATCTTTGACACAGAGGCCCACAACCAAGAGACCTACAAGGACATCGGGGACTGCTACCTGCTCTCCGCCCCAGGGCCCCACGTGCTGCTGCTGGTCACGCAGCTGGGGCGCTTCACCGCGCAGGACACGGCGGCGGTGAGGAGGGTGAAGGAGGTCTTCGGGGCGGACGCCATGAGACACGTGGTCCTCCTCTTCACCCGCAGAGAGGACCTGGGGGGCGAATCCCTGCGCGAGTTCGTCACCAAAACCGACAACCGCAGCCTGCGGAGCCTGGTGCGCGAGTGTGAGGGCAGGTACTGCGCCTTCGACAACCGGGCCGCGGGGCCGGGGCAGCGGGAGCAGCTGGAGGAGCTGATGGCCGTGGTCGAGAGGCTGGACAGGGAGCGCCCGGGCGCCTTCCTCAGGAACGACCTCTTCTTTGAGGCGCAGAGGCTGCAGAGGGACGGGGGCGGCGCCGGCGGAGGAGCCCGCGGGAGCTACCTGGCCCAGGTGCGAGCGCAGGTGGAGAAGCACAAGCGAGACCTGGAGGAGAGCGAGAGATGCTGCGCGCCCAGGGCGCTCCTCGGGGCCAAAAAGTGGATCCTTCTGCATATGGAGCTTTGTATCTGTCTGGTTTGGTGCAGCTTACTTATCCTTCTCATTCTACTGACCATCTGGTACCATGTTTAATTCTGTCCGTAGTCGAAGCATTTCCCAAAGTATCGCCAATTCAGAAATTAATTCTCACGGTCCAGGCAGCTCCCATTCCCTGTCTTTTTCATAGGCTCTTGGTTTGAGTCAGGCCTTTGCCTCTTCCGCATGGAGCCAGGGGCCTCAGAGGGTCCCCAGCTCAGCTGAAGGGATGCCTGGCGGGACTGTTACAGTCCTCATTCCCTCTGCCAGCGACCAGCTCAGGAACCGGCCTGAAACCCAATTCAGGCCGAGGAGATGTAGGTACGCTTCTACAGAGGTCTCTTTCCCCAGGAGAGACCCACAGAGAGGGACAGCCTCTCTCTGGGCACTGTTGGGTCTGAGGGTGATGCTTGGAACTCCCAGAGCCATCAGCCTGAGGCGGATGGCAAGGCTTCAAAGCAGAGCCCACTTGAGCTCCTGAATCAGCCAGCCCCGAGGCCTACCCCATCTCTCCATCTCTGAACGTCAGCCAATACATTCCCTTACTGTGTAAGCTGTTTGAGTTTGGGCTCTCTTTTCCCGGCATTTGAAAACATTTGAATAAACGACATGTTCTCTGCCCTCTTTTAAACAAGATCCTTAAATTTCTCCGAACTTCCCCGTTCTTGTGCTTCCTCTGAGGGAGGACTCGCGTCTGCTACTAACAGGCCGGCTGCTTTGCAGACATGCACTGAATCCTGAATAAAGTGAAAACAGTTTTTAGTTGGCTTATTTTGGAGGACAATGGGACAGGGCGGAAATGTGCCATCTCCAGGCAGGTGTCCGGTTTCTCCTCCCTTTGGGGGAGAAACAGAGCTCACATTTGAACACTCCAAAAAATTGGGCGAACACCCGTGTCAGAGTAAAGGGGTAACAAAGCCTGTCCTCCTTCGCTGCTGTAAAATATCCTTGGGTGACTCCCCTTGAAAATCGAAAAAAGAGAAATGTCATCTGGATTACCAGGTGACACTGATCGTGATGAAAGAGATGTCTTGTTGGTGTACTGCACCCCACCTGGGAGGCCTGGGACCGGCCCACCTGCACCCCTGGAGGGGGCTGTTGTCCTCCAGCCCTGCTCCCTAGTACTCACTCGGGCCAAGTTCACGCCCAGTCTGATGGAGGAGGAGACCAGCCATGGTCTCCTGGAGACAGGACCCATGCCCCAGAGGGTTTCAAGGCTGGGACATTCAGATCCAAAGCTGTCAGTGTCCTCTGAGCAGCCAGCTCTCCCTCTGAAGGCCCAGGCCAGTGAAGGGAGCCACATGTCACAGGGTGGCCCAAGACAGAAGCATGATTGCCACCCCAGCATTGCCATCAGTGACGGCATAGTGTCCATCCCACCTCCTCAGAGTCTCTCTCCTCTGCATCCCCGTTCCTATTGTTACGACTGAGGCCCCAATCCCTGGGGAGAAAGTCTTTCTTCTCCATGTTATCCTTACGCCAGGCTCACGCTTACATAGTTCAGCCACCAAATTGCTGCAGCATCAGCTTCTTAAAACGACCTGCCGAAAAGCCGCCAGTGACTTCCTGTTTACTGTGAGATGCCCCTCGAACTCTGCGGGTGGCACACAGGCCCTGGCCCGGCCCCATCTCTCCCTGCACCCCGCTTCCCATATGCTGATTCTCATTCTCATTCCCGTCCTTGACCTTGGTGGCCTCCCTCAGCCCATAGCGACTCCCGGAGACGCCAGCCCGTTCCTAGCAGCTCGGGCACCACCCCATCTAGGCAGCCTCTGCTGGGCCTTCGTGACCCCCTTTTGGCAGACATCCTACCTTCAAACAAACTTCTCTCACACCCCATTTTCTATTTGCCTTCGTCCCACTTTTACACAGTCGCTTCTCGGGAGGAGGAACTTTGCATTATTTATCTTCTATTCCTGGTGCCAAATGCAGAGCCTGACACTCAGCATTCCTCTAATAAACCTCTGTGCAGCCGGATTGAATTAAGTCTGGGAAGGGAGGCGCCACTTTGGGAATGCTGCAGTGACGGGGGGCAGTCTTCGCTCTGAGCTCTGAGCACCCAGAGTCCCTTCGGTGTCCAGGGTGGGAGGTGCATCGGCGTAAGATTCCGGGCGTGAGTTTGAAGTCGGTTAGGTGAGCACAGCCCTACAGATCAACATGGCACCTCTATCAAAAATAGAGGTTTAGAGAACGAAGCTTGCATGGCCTGATTGAGTTCCTAAGACTCACCCCAATATTAACCACATACCCATCCGGTCACAGGCTGCCTGGAACAACTGTGGGTCTCTCTTACAGGGCACCCATGAGCGGAGAAGAGGGTACACCTACCGAAAAGGTGAGGGGTCAGGGAGGGGCCACCGGGGACCTCCTCATCGGCTTTCTTGTTTCTACGGACTTGATGACCTCTGCTCAGACGTCGCCCCAATGTCTGCCCTCTGCCCTTTGCTCCCACGGAAATGCAGAACCCTGCTTTTCCCCAAATTCCCACAGATATCACACATGTGGGTGCTGACCTCGGAGTTCAGGAGCTTGCCTGACAATGCGGCTCAGCCGAGGGGACATTTACCCCAAGGCCGGGGTTGGACCACATCCGGCCTTGTGCCTGTTCGTGCAGCCTGTGAGCCCCGGAGGCAGGGCTTCTACATGCTTAAAAGTTTGCAGAAGTCAAAAGAAGAAGAATGTTTTGGTGCCACATGGGAAAGTTACATGAAATTCCAATTTCAATGTTCACGGAGGTTTACGGGAAGGCAGCGACACACGTCGTTCGCATCTCATCCACCTGTCTTTTGCTCCGTCAGTGAAGACGATCGTGTATAGCCCACTAAGCCTAAAGTCTTCACTGTCTGGCCTCGCGCTAAGAGATTACAGTTTCTTTCTCTCCCAGCCACTGACTCTGCTTTCCCCCACGGCGTGGCCCCCTGCCCGCCCCTGCGGCCCCTTTTCTCTGCTCTCCTCAGAATTAGGTCCCCTCCTCTCTTCCTCCCTGGCCTCTTCAGAATGCCCTCATCATCCCCTCTCGTGGGGGTGGGCATGGCAATGGGTGTCACCCTTCCTGTGGCTGTCACCCCGCACCACGATGAAATCAGAGTACGTTTCTGAACGAAATAAGGAATTCAGTGCCAGCTGTTTCTGTAACGTCTTTCTGCCCCGGATAACACGAGTCTGTAAAGTAAGGCCCAGAGGTGAGATACTCACGTAGCCTCACAGTCCATTCCTTGTCCATCTCCCAAGGTTTTGGGGTGGTGTCTGGTTAGTTTATTATTAACCCCCCGATTTTTAACAGAACAACAAAAAATGCTTGTTTGTTTTTTCCTTTGGATTTTATTTATCCAGAAGCAGTGAAAGAACATGGGTGGCATCTCCGAGGCAAGGAAGAGAAATCGAAAGTGGAATTAAGTAGAAAGCAAATAAAGTATCTTACAAACAGACAGAGGGTGAGTCTGGGAAAACAGGTGATTGTAGAAATCATCGGAAAATGCTCAGTGTCCTTGAGCAAAGCACAGGTTAATTAAAATTGCAAGAAAAATCAAAACGCATATAACAAGAAAAGCAGTTACGCCAAGGTGAGAAGTCACCCACTTTCTGACCCCGCGGAGCGCCCTGGGCGCGCAGCATCTCTCGCTCTCCTCCAGGTCTCGCTTGTGCTTCTCCACCTGCGCTCGCACCTGGGCCAGGTAGCTCCCGCGGGCTCCTCCGCCGGCGCCGCCCCCGTCCCTCTGCAGCCTCTGCGCCTCAAAGAAGAGGTCGTTCCTGAGGAAGGCGCCCGGGCGCTCCCTGTCCAGCCTCTCGACCACGGCCATCAGCTCCTCCAGCTGCTCCCGCTGCCCCGGCCCCGCGGCCCGGTTGTCGAAGGCGCAGTACCTGCCCTCACACTCGCGCACCAGGCTCCGCAGGCTGCGGTTGTCGGTTTTGGTGACGAACTCGCGCAGGGATTCGCCCCCCAGGTCCTCTCTGCGGGTGAAGAGGAGGACCACGTGTCTCATGGCGTCCGCCCCGAAGACCTCCTTCACCCTCCTCACCGCCGCCGTGTCCTGCGCGGTGAAGCGCCCCAGCTGCGTGACCAGCAGCAGCACGTGGGGCCCTGGGGCGGAGAGCAGGTAGCAGTCCCCGATGTCCTTGTAGGTCTCTTGGTTGTGGGCCTCTGTGTCAAAGATGGGGGCGGTGTCGACCACCAGGACGCTCCTCCCGTTCCACGTGCCGGTGGCCGCCTGGCATGTCTGGGTCACAGACCGCGCCTCCAGCCTGGACTGGAAGACTGGCCGGCAGAGGATGCTGTTCCCTGTGGCACTTTTCCCGCTGCCCGATCTGCCCACCAGGATGATCCTCAGGGAGGGCGACGATGCAAACGGGCTATCTCCCACCCTGCCTGTAAAAAAAGAATTTTTGTGTCTTACTAAGTTAGTGATTCTTAAGATTTTCCAGTCATGGACCTTCATGGTATCTCTTGAAAGCCATAGACCTCCCTCCCAGAAAAACAGTCATAGCTGAGTACATGCAAAAGCCTGCAGACCACTTTAGGAGGTTCCTGGATCATAAGGAGTCCACATAGGATGCCTGCGCTTGGCCCCGTAGCCAAGAGTAAGAACTGCCTCGCTATTGAGGATGCTTGAAGCACTTCACTTAGACCAGGGAAACTACACGTTTCTGAAAGGAAATGGTCCTTGTGTTTTTCCATAGGTGGCGCCAAGGCCAGTTTCGCGCTACATAAATGTGAGATTGGAAAGGGGCGGAAGACGAGAAATCACACGTGAGGCAATATTCTCACCTCCTTGTCGGCCACGCATTTCTAGGCACACTTGTCTAGAAGTGCTCAGCGAGCCTCGGGAAGAACGGAAGTCTCAGAGGTCAGAGGCACCGTGACTCCCCACCGAGGACCAGCTGAGGATCCCTGGGTCTCTGCTCTTTGGGTGGGGAGTTAGATGTTTGAAACGGAGATGACAACAAGGTCAAAGTCAATGTCAAGGACGAAGTCTGGGAGACGACCCTGGATGGGTGTCTGAAGAGGCGTTGAATATAGGACCATTCGAAGTGCATGAGCTAGAAAGGTCAGCGATTTGGCTGAGTGACTTACGGGGAACTAACAAAACCAGTGTTGGGCAGGGCGACACCCAGCCAAGAGCTAAAATCTTTAAGGGATGGAGAAGCGTGAGAACCTGAGGATTTTTAGAGTTTTTAGGAGCCCAAATGAAGTCTATTGTAGGCTCCTAAAATCCATAATTTTCTTCCTTCAACTCTGTGCTCGTTCCTCCTTTCCTCAAGAGTTCTGGGGCATTTTGTAGCAAACGTGATTACTAAATCTCTACGGGAAATTCCCATTTTTCCCAGCTGAGAGCAGACAAGGAAAGAGGAACCAGATTCACAACTCAGTTCCAAAGTCTCCAACTTCCGACTTGAAATTTCATGTCCACGTTTCCCACACATCACGTGCACAGAGAGCCTCATACCATGTGGGTCGGGGTGGGGGGGCCGGGGTGTGTGGCGATGGCGGGGAAGGGCAAGAATCAATGAGAGTTGGCTTTTTCTTCTTCCGTTTAAAATAGCCGGGTTAAGGTCCCCGTGTTTGAGGTGAGAGACAGGTGGAGAGAGAACAGTGGCTGCTCCTCGGTGCCCAGAGCTCTTGAGATCTTGGAGGCTTTCTTACCTTCAGCCAGAGTCCCATAGCTGCTCTTCTGAGGCCCATCCATTCTCTTCTGGAATAAAAACAGGAAAGGAATAAGAAGCAGGTGTCCACATGGGAGTTGGTAAGGCCTCAGTTCGGACCCCTAAGAATAATTCTTTCGATGAGCCATTTCCATTGCTAATTTCCTAACTCACATTATGCTTTCAAACATCTATAAGTAACTTTGAGCAACCCTGGCGATGCTAACACAATGCACGGTGGTTGTTTTTGATTTCTCAGCTTACGGGAAAGCAGGAAATGCTTTGAAACAGATCAGCTGATTGATTCTCTCCCTCCAGCTTACATGAAATGAAGTAAGCATTCTTTTATGGAATGAGAAGTGGGACATTTATTATTATTATTATTATTATTATTATTA